CTCCTCTCGGGGCCCGCTCGGCAGCCGCTGGGGTGTGCGCACACGGTGTTTAGTGAATGACAACACGAAGATTCCGTTTGAAGTGGTTTTGACGATGGGTGATGCTCAGGATAACAGTTAAGACCACAAAAACATAGAGATTGTGTTACCGAAGAGATCCCCGGGCAGAGGTTGGACCAAGAGGTGTGTTTCTCAAAGGTTGCCAGCGAGGGATTGCGTCCCAAAGGAACGTGGTTGGTGGTGAAGGAGCAGAGCAAGGGATTAGCTGGTTTTCGATAGCGCAGGAGATGAGGGAATGGTGATTAAAATTAGTTGTGGTCTGCTACCAAATAACTTAGAGTCGTATCAAACAAAACAGAAACAGGGAGAAATCTTTTGACTGATACTAATTTTTTATTAATATTCATCATCTGGTTTGGATGCCCCATCCCTGGCAGTGTTCAAGGCCAGGTTGGACGGGGCTTGGAGCAACCTGCTCTAGTGGAAAGGGTCCCTTCCTATGGCAGGGGGTCGAAACTGGATGAGCATTAAGGTCCCTTCATCCAAACCAGTCTGTGATTCTATGATCTCTTTCCTTTCAATTATTCCTTCACAGTTCCTGCTCCAGCAGGATTGTGTGCATGTGGGGTGTGTCTGCCTCTCATCCGTGTCACCTTCCCAGGGGTGGCACAGGCTGTAAATCTTACACCGTCATCATCCTGCCTCATGTGGAGACTCGCTGCTGTAAAGCACAAGCTGTGCTTATGGATCAGCCAAACAATAAGTGCTTCGTACTGATTCTTTTGACATGTTGGCATGGCAGTACATGGGCCCAGAAGATATTACTCACGTGCCCTTATCCTGCTGGTGCTCTTTTGTAATGCCAGTTAAATCTTTATTTAATTGTCAAAGCTGCCTATAAAATTACTGAAAGTACTGAAGTTTTTTTCACATGTTGATCACTGGATGGCAGCAAACATATAATGAGACAAATGTGGACTTCTCCTAAGGCCAGTGAAGGGAAGCGGTGACTCAATGTAGATTTTGTGAGACTGCCAGTTTTCTCTTGAGATACGTGTGATATTTGTAAGTAATTCCTCTGCTGATGGAGCATGTTAGATGTGCAACTGTTTTGTTGCCATAATGGTACAAGCTGGACCAACTGGCAGAAGGAGTAGGAGTGGATGTGGGCAGGTTGCCTCATACTTCTATGTAAAAGAAGTTCTCTGGGTAAAAATGGAATCCCTGCAAAGCTTGGGTGATATTGCTGAAGTTATTTGTCTTAAATCCTTCAGAAATAGAAGCAAGTATCCTACAAGTGTGGATTTTAATTTTTTATGGGGTTGTTAACATACGTGTCCTTATTCATTAAAAACCCATTAAAGGAATTGCTGTAAAATATTAAAATGTTATGCAGTTTAAATTAGCACATAAATTATTGTAAAAGATTGGTTGGAAACTGAACTTGAGCTGTGATTTTCTGCTACCAGCTGCAGGGAGAGATGTGAGCCTTTCCTTATTAGAAATCTTTGAGGAGACCATCTACAGTTTATATTG